TGATATGCGTGTGTTGCATTATCAATATTGGTTGTTCTTACGTGGTTCTGTTGTTGGAATTAGTAAGATGGTTGCAGGGAGGAACGATGAAGCGATCGCAGAAGCTTTGACAAGGTTGGCGGGAGCGATTGGGCAGAATCCTCCGGCCAATGTGAATGCGGGGAATGTTGTTGAAGATGAGTTCCGTGCTTTGGGGAGGTTTCAAAGGAACAATCCTCCGATTTTTAAGGGAACCCATGAGCCTGACAAAGCACAGATTTGGTTGAAAGCTGTGGAGAAGATTTTTCGGGTTATGAATTGCTCAGATGCACAAAAGGTGCAGTTTGGGACTCACATGCTCGAAGAAGAAGCTGAAGATTGGTGGGGTAATACTCGCCAAAGATTTGAGGAAGATGATATTGTGATCACTTGGGATCTGTTCAGAGAGACTTTTCTGGAGAAGTATTTTCCAGAGGATGTGCGAGGGAAGAAAGAGATTGAATTTCTTGAGTTAAAACAAGGTAATTCGACGGTAGCGGAGTATGCGGCAAGATTTGAAGAGTTGATCAAATTTTGTCCTCATTACAATGCTGCTAATGCCGAGAGGTCTAAGTGCCTCAAGTTTGTGAACGGTTTGAGACCCGAGATTAGGCAAGCTATTGGATATCAGGAAATCAGGCAATTTTATGAGTTAGTGAACAAGAGCAGAATCTATGATGAAGACAGTAGGGCTCGGTCTAGCCACTACAAGAGTTTAAGTGATAAGAAAGGAAAAGGTCAATTTCGAGGAAAACCTTATGTGACTCCTGCAGACAAAGGGAAGCAGAGAATGGGTTATGGCAAGAGGCCAAGTGGGGGAGTTTCTACTCCGGTTAGATGCTATAACTATGGTGAAGCGGGACATCGTGCTCCAAATCCTAGCGCCCCCAACAACTATTCATCTCCTTCTTCATTGGAAACCCTAGTAGCCTCCAATCTGAAACCCCACTCCAACCTTCTTCCATCTTTAACCCTCAACAGACAACTCCAAGAACCGCATCTTCATACCCAAATCCCCACACAGAACTCATATCAGCATTTGATAGCTTTCTTCAACCTTTCGTTCACCTTCTTCTTCATCTATTGTTCACTCTTCCAAAACACAACGGCCAAACCCTTTCTCCAACCAAACAACACAAACCTTTTTTTTTTTAAACTTCAAAGAAACCCCCTTCATACCTCAACCTTCTTCAAATTTTCATCCTTTTTCTTCTTCGTAAAATAACAACAGAAATCCCAATATTCCCACCGCGTACAAAACTTAACCGTTTCTTACTTCAAAAGCCACATATTCAAAAAAATCAAAATGGATCAGAAATTAGAAGAGAGAGTGATTCAACTGGACCGAAGCTAATATTAATGGACTTGAGTCGCAATCAAAATCGGACGGAAATAGGGCGAGAGCTCGCGGAGAAAAGGTTGAATAAGCCGTCGTTTTTCTTTGGATCTGATGCGATGCGACGATGAGATTATCCTGAGCTAAATGATGTTGGTGTTTTGAACATAGAGTTTCCTTGTTGTTCATTTGACTGAGTTTTCTTTTTTCTTAAAAAAAATTTTGGTATACCTTTGACCTTCTTGTTTTTACACGAAAAAAAATGTTGATCACTGCTGGAAGTGTTGTTCAGTTGTATCCTTCTAGGTGTTATGGTGGGCTTGGCCCATGTTGGAGCTTTTATTCACACCACCATTTCTAACCCCTTTGTTTTTTCCTCAGCACCCATCTGTTTATGATTACATTTTCTCATTTCCTTTTTCTTTCTTATTTTAGTGTAAACTACTTTAAATAATATTTTTTTAAACAGATTTATTAATATGTATATATTATAATTTTTAAGATTTATATTTTTCTTAAAGTTATATTTTATTTCTCATTTATTATAGAGCATTTTATCCCATTTTCGCTCTTTGCGGTCGATAACGAGATTACCAACGTTTAACCGTCAAATTATTGGCGTGAAACAAAGGATCCGATACCACTTTCTTTTTCCGATTTTATTTCGATTTTTGGATCGATGAAGTTTTTATTCGTAAGCGTCGCGTATCGAAGTTGATAACCTTCTCGATTTCAAATCTATGGTGAATGACCATTGGGGTCATTTTCCGTACTTAGGGATCGTGATAGGCTACCTTCGATTAATCGGCATTATGTTTGCGATTAAGACGAGATCCATTCTTTCGTGTCCCAACTCGATTCACTAACCATTAAATTTAATTTCCGTTAAATATTATTGTGAATATTATTGTCATATTATTATTCATATTATCATATCTCATTATTCATATTCATTCACCCATATTCGAAAATACCTAATAAACTATCGAAACTCCTAAAAGCCAAATTGGTGGACTGTTGTATCATTGGTTATTTGCAGGGATCCTAATTTTGAGTTGTGCTTGACTTTGCTCAAGGCGTAGTTTAGGACACAATGCACACACACGGCTTTCTCTTGGGCTACCTGACAATGAGCCCCTTTACTTCATGCAATCCCGTGTTACTTACATGTACCCCTCTCCCATTCTGATGTATGTTTCGTATTTCTTTGATTATTAGTTTATATCCTAGGAGCACCCATAGGGACTAGAGCAGATCAAACTATTTTCAAACTAATTCTCGATTCATCATCGAGCCACTTTCAAACAACCTCGTAAGTCGAGTGCTCATACGCATTCGCCATCAACCTATTACAACTCGACCCTTGATGTGTAAGTCAAGTCAGTCTCTTTTTTCAAACCATTTCATTTCCAACACGTTTTGCACGCGATAATAAGTCAAACCCTTGATCCAACGTCAAGTGGATTTTCGTAACAAACTTTCAATCAATTAACAACTATTCAATTCTTTGCAAGGTGTAAAGAGTAGGTTCAAGTCTTTGATCTTGCTTTTAGTTGTTTATATGCGAGTTATCTTATTCGTGTGTGAGTAATTGACGCCTTTAAATAACATTAACAACTCGACAACATTCAACCATTCTCCAACTACTCATCCTTTCAAACAACTTCTTTTGCGATGAAAAAGAGAGTGTTCCAAGTCTTTGGTTCGCTTTCCCGATTATTTGGGGCTCGAGAAGTCTTTCTTAAGCTTCAAGTAATTATCATCATTTCAACCTCATCCTTTCAAACACATCATTCCTTCATGATGAAAAAGAGAGTGTTCTGAGTCTTTGGTTCGCTCTCCCGATTACTTGGGTCCGAGAAGTCTTTCTTAAGCTTCGAGTAATCGTCATCCGTACCCCTTCAAGTCCAATTAGATCCAGTTTCTTTTCGTGGTTGTTACCACGAACTACAAACGCTCTGATTCTTCATTCACTCTTGAATGTAAGATACGTAGGCACAAGATTGCGATGATATTGGCGAGCACAATTCCCTCCATCTTCCATTTCCCCCATCCTTTCCCGTAGTCGAACTACGACGCTCTGATTTCTCATTCTCGTCCGAATGAGCATACGTAGGCACAAGGGTCCCAATCCTTGGGGAGCACCCTATCCTCTAAACCATCCCTTTTCCCCTAGCTTCTTTATCCCTTTATAATATCCTTTAGCATTTAGTAGTGAGAAGAGAAGAATTAAGCTTAGCTAACATCCATCATAACTTGAATTAAGAGGTTCCCGTCGAGTACGACGGACGTGAGGGGTGCTAATACCTTCCCCTCGCGTAACCGACTCCCGAACCCAGGAATATGGTTGCGACGACCGTGTTCTTTCTGCGTTTATGAGGTTTTCTCGATATTTTCCTCTCTCGTTCATTCGGGAAAAAATAAAGTTCGGTGGCGACTCTGTCGAACCGCATTTTCCGCGCCTTTTGCGCGAGGGTCGTATGTTCGAAATGAATTTTCGAGGTGCGACAGGTGGCGACTCTGTTGGGGATCTTTGCTCCATGCAAGAGAGAGTCGAGCCTATCTTAGTTTGAGTTGTTAGCTTGTTATTTTTTATTTCTTCTCGCTTTCTATTTGTATCCTTATCTTGGTTATTGGTGCTTGTGGCATTGTGGGGTTGTTCTGCTTATGGTTATTTTGTGAGATGGCTCTACACCCGAGTCCGAGTATATCCCTAGGATTAGGATGGTGGTTGTGTAGTGGAGACTTGCATGGAGTCTTTCACGTTAAGTTGAAGCGAAAACCCCGCTTGGAGTAGATTCCTTGGAGATATTGTTGTTGTGGTGAGTCTTTGCCATGACAATAATGTTTTCGAGTTTGAATCGTTGATCCCAAGGACCATAAACCGTTTTATCCATGGTGGTTGGTAGTGTTAATTCTTTGTGAATTAATATGAACGCCCCAATCAGATGAGATCCCTTGAACGTATTACTTTCTTACAGTAATATTTTCAACCTCGATCTATGACTCTGAGAACCTTTTTTAGAATCCGCGTGTCGATGGTTATGTAGTTGATGCCTCCGAGAAGTCTTTCTCGCGTGGAAGATACGAGAACCTCACCTAGAGGAGATTCTTTTATGGATATTATCATCGTGATGAGGCTTTGTCATGGCTGTAATATCTTTGAAAGATATCCATAACTCTAGGCACCTACCCGTTTTAGAATTCTACCTGTGGGGGTTTCTTTGAGCAGTGACTGTGATCCTTGAACCGTTCACCTGGATGAATCTCAGAATTGTTTGAATTTGTGATCCTGGATCTTACATCTTGTATTGCATATCATTTGCATTGCATCTCATTTGTTGTGCATCTTGCATTCTCCTTCCTCCAGCAGTTTCTCATGTTTCTCTTTCCTTCCTATTCAGTAAATCAAGCTGAGTCCTCGACACCAGTACGCAACTAGAGCCAATACAAGACGAATGATGGAGCAGATTCAGCAGGAGCAAGTTGCCTTCAGAGAGGAGTTGGACTCCATTAAAGGAAAGATTGACCAGATCCTCGAAGCCATCCTCACGGCCAGAAGAGAGGAAGAACAACGTGAATCTGCTGCTGTCGTCAACAATAATGGTCATGCGCAAGTCCACTGAAAGACTCTACTGAGACAAAGATGGGCTGTCAAGAACGTAGAGGAGGTAGGATGGGCAGTTGGTCAGATCTAGTATGGATCTTACATGGACGGTAGTTGGAGTCGGTGGCTCTCCTAGGGTTTCCTCATCTGAGATCCTGGGGAAGAGGATCAAGCTGGCCCTTGCGAACAAACAGCTTGATGCACTATCTCCCTTCAACCCTTTGAGCGAAATGCGGGAAAACAAAAGGAAAGAAAATCCATGGACCGACCCCATCGTCTCCACCCCGTAGGAACTACGAGATCACCCCAAGGACGCCTTCGGCATCCAGGGGTCGCGGACCGACCGTAGAACCCTGTTAAAAAAAAAGCGGAACAAATTAGTTATCCGCTCTCAGGTTGAACAGTTAAGGGTCGGAGAAGTGCAATTACTCATTCTTAAAACCCGCATTCTTAAGACCAAAGAGTCGGGTTAGTAACCCCCTATGGTCCAAGGAAGGCTATAGGTAAGGGACTGCCGGGTGCTGGGTGCTATGAAGAGACTGCTCTTGCTTTTTGGGCTTGTGAATGAGAATACCCCAAGGCTCTCAGCACCTGTCCCTAATGCCTATGGAATGCCGATGAATTTCGCTACCGCAGCCGAAGGGACCACTTCTCAGCCAATCCCAGCACCTGGAGTTACTGTTGGAGCTATCCCGCAGGCCCAACCTACTGCTGTGCAGATCCCAGTTCCTCATATCGAAGATACTCTGGTGGATCAGTATGACGATGTTCAGAACTATCATGTTGCTGTCCCCATTGCTAGTTTTGTTGCTGCTCAGGATTTAGAAGCTATGAAGATGTGCCGAGATCTAGCTGAGAAACTCCGAGCCATGGAGGGGTACAGTTCAAATTCTTTCAGTGCTTTGGAATTATGCTTGGTGCCTGATGTTGTCATTCCTCCCAAGTTCAAAGTGCCGAAATTTTCGAAGTACAAAGGTCTCAGTTGTCCAAACATTCATCTAAAGATGTATTGTTGCAAGATGGCTTCATATGCCAGAGACGAAAAGCTCATGATTCATTGCTTCCAAGACAGTTTGTCTGGGGAATCACTCGAATGGTATATGCAGCTGGAACGTAACAGTGTGCGCACTTGGGCCGAGCTAGCCGATGCATTTGTCAAGCAGTATAAGTAGAACACCAATCTTGCTCTGAATCGTACTCAACTTCAAAGTATAACTCAGAAGGACAACGAATCCTTCAAGGAGTACGCGCAACAATGGAGAGAGCTAGCCGCAAGGGTGCATCCACCTCTTGTTGACCGTGAACTGATTGACATCTTCATGGGCACCTTGCAAGGCCAATACTATGAGAAGCTGATCAGTAGTGTCTCCGTTGGATTCTCTGACTTGGTGATCATTGGTGAGAGAATTGAAGAAGGTCTGAAGAGTGGAAAGATCCCAGGAGGTTCTAACAACCAGGCCAATACCAAGAAGCCTTTCAATGGATACAAGAAGAAAGAGGGCGAAGCAAATGCAATCTCTGTGCAAAAAGGGCATGCTTCCCAACAAGCTCTCGCTCCTATGCCTTATTAAATGCCCTATTATCAGTATCCGTATGTTGCTGCTGCGCAATATGCTCCAATGCCTTATCAGCCAGCTGTTCAAGCAGTGCAAGCTCAGATGCCACAGCAACAGGCTCCTCAGCAACAGGCCTACTGTAACAGCCCGAATTTCATTAAATAATTACTTATAGTAATTAATTGATTTAGTGGGATTTTTATTAATTTTGGAAATTAATTTTTATTAATTGGAATTAATAGAGAATTGAGAAGGAAATTGGAAGGAAGGAAAATAAAGGAAATATATAATAGAGAAGGAAAAGAAAAGAAAGTTAGAGAGAAACATTTGGAAAGAAAGAAGAAGAGAAAGAGAGGAGAAGAAGAGGAAAGTGGAAAATCATCAAGAACCAACATCAAAGCTCCGATTAATCGAGGTAAGGGTGAGAAATGTTTCTATTTGATCATTGCATGATGTTATATATGTTGGGTTGGGGTTTTGGTGTAGTTTCCATCCTTTTCCATATAGGGCAAAAGTTGGAATAATCGGTAGAACTATGATTTAATCGGTTGAAATTGATTAATAATGCCGTAGAATAGTCGGGTAACATGTAGTGATGTTGTTTGAGTTGGTTTTGATGTTTGGGAGTTGGTTGGTGGTGGTTTGAGAAGGAGAAGACAGAACAAAATTCTGTTCTGCGCAGGTTCGCTGGCTCTCGCCGGGCGAAGCCTAGCGAACGCTGGCGAATAATTATGATTAAGTCCCAGTGGACTTCGCTGGCGAGTTCGCCAGGCAAAGGTTGGTTAGAGAAGGTTCGCCCAGCGAAGGTGCTGGCGAATGGTGGCGAACAAAGTCAGTGGCTACTGACTTTGGCTCGCTGGGGAGTCTCGCCAGGCGAAGGTCCAGCGAAGGTTCGCTGCGGGGCCTCGCCAGGCGAATATGGGAGAATTTGACAGCATCTTTTCTTTGTTGTGGTTTCTATGTGTTGATGATTTAGTTGTTTCACATAGACTAATACCTCTACATTGTGAGTATGTATGTGATCTACTGTGATGATATGTGTTGTGGGTAGCCTACGGGCGTGAATCCTAGAATTGTGATTTGAATGTTAATTGCATCAAGTATAAATACATGTGAACATAATAGGTGATTATGTGTGTATTATTTAATGAACTTGTATATGCTTGATGTGTATACGATTATGTGATGAGTGTGCATGAGAACATTGTGAATATGTGTGCATAACTTGTAATTATATGATTGGTATTGTGATGTGAATACCTTGATTGTTGTGATATATGTTGTATGTGCAATCATTGTGTAATTCTTGAAGAGATGAATTATTAAATGCATGAGATTAAGATGCGAGAACGGTCTTAAGTGCATTGTTGTGGTTGATTGCATATGCATCATTTAGTCAAGAGGCGATGTCTGTTAGTTTCGTGGAAACTAGTGGCTTGTCCCAAACCTAAAAGAGTGGGTTTGAAGGCTTAGAGGACGGGCCTTTGTTGTTATCGGTCTAGAAGAGTGGACCCGGTTTAATGTAAAAACCGAAAAATGATAACGGGTTATCGGTCTAGATGAGTGGACCCGGTTTAATGTAAAACCGAAAAATGATAACGAGAGTTGGTACCGCATTGCATGAGTTGCATTGAGTTGTTGAGTCACATCGATATATGACATATGCATGAAGTGATGCTTATGTGTGAATGATAAGATTGTGGAAATGTGAGTGTATGTATGATGTGGGAATGTTTTGTGAATATTCATGTTGTCTATATATGTGTGGTAAATATATATGACTAAGAGGGTGAATTGTGGTGAGAAATATGGAGTTGAATTATATGATTACCTATATATATATATATATATATATATATATATATATATATATATATATATATATATATATATATATATATATATATATATATATATATATATATATATATATATATATATATATATATATATATATATATATATATATATATATATATATATATATATATATATATATATATATATATATATATATATATATATATATATATATATAATCTTATGCTTTGATTATTATGGTTATATTTCTCACCCTTCTTCTGTTTTATAATGCTCTACGAGGCATTGCAGATCAGGATGCTGGAGTCTTTTTTGTGTGGAGTTACCTTCATTCTTTTGAGTCGGCTGCTCTGATATGTAACACCGGGTAGTTAGACTAGTATATTTATTCTTTTGTGATACATTGCGATGTATCAGCTGATGTGGTTTTGTAATTACCTGACACGATGTATTAATCTGGATATCTTATGTGTATGTGAATTAATATTTTGGAAATGATTAAATGATTTTATCTTCCGCTTAAATTTAAATATTGAAATGTGATTTCTAAAACCATGAAAATGTTACATATTTTATGGAGCAAATGTTAAAGTGTTTCATTGGTGAAATTGTGACATTCTTCCTTTATACCTTATTCTAAAATTTTCACTCTGATAAATTTGTATATGCATTTATTTGGGGGTATAGAAGGGGGTGTTACAAAAGGTTGTATCAGAGCATGTCGGTCCGTCCGGCCAAGTTGTTAGAGTGTTTTTCCCTGTGTGTTATTGATATACGTGTGTTGCATTATCAATATTGGTTGTTCTTACGTGGGTCTGTTGTTGGAATTAGTAAGATGGTTGCAGGGAGGAACGATGAAGCGATCGCAGAAGCTTTGACAAGGTTGGCGGGAGCGATTGGGAAGAATCCTCCGGCCAATGTGAATGCGGGGAATGTTGTTGAAGATGAGTTCCGTGCTTTGGGGAGGTTTCAAAGGAACAATCCTCCGATTTTTAAGGGAACCCATGAGCCTGACAAAGCACAGATTTGGTTGAAAGCTGTGGAGAAGATTTTTCGGGTTATGAATTGCTCAGATGCACAAAAGGTGCAGTTTGGGACTCACATGCTCGAAGAAGAAGCTGAAGATTGGTGGGGTAATACTCGCCAAAGATTTGAGGAAGATGATATTGTGATCACTTGGGATCTGTTCAGAGAGACTTTTCTGGAGAAGTATTTTCCAGAGGATGTGCGAGGGAAGAAAGAGATTGAATTTCTTGAGTTAAAACAAGGTAATTCGACGGTAGCGGAGTATGCGGCAAGATTTGAAGAGTTGATCAAATTTTGTCCTCATTACAATGCTGCTAATGCCGAGAGGTCTAAGTGCCTCAAGTTTGTGAACGGTTTGAGACCCGAGATTAGGCAAGCTATTGGATATCAGGAAATCAGACAATTTTATGAGTTAGTGAACAAGAGCAGAATCTATGATGAAGACAGTAGGGCTCGGTCTAGCCACTACAAGAGTTTAAGTGATAAGAAAGGAAAAGGTCAATTTCGAGGAAAACCTTATGTGACTCCTGCAGACAAAGGGAAACAGAGAATGGGTTATGGCAAGAGGCCAAGTGGGGGAGTTTCTACTCCGGTTAGATGCTATAACTATGGTGAAGCGGGACATCGTGCTCCCGAATGCAAAAGTGTTGAACAGAAGTGTTTCAAGTGTGGCAAGCCAGGCCACAAGGCTCTTGAGTGTAGAAGCGGTACCGGTGTGACTTGCTACAACTGTGGTGAGCGAGGGCACATTAGTACCAAGTGTGATAAGCCTAAGAAGAATCAAGGGAGCGGAAAAGTGTTCGCTCTATCTGGATCTGAGACTGCTAGCGACGATTGATTGATCCGAGGTACGTGCTTCATTAATGGTACAACTTTGATCGCTATAA